AGGGTGTCAGGGATCCCCAATTTATAGCCAGTAGGTCAGAAGCACGGGTAAAACAGCCTGAGACTTGCAATCAGCATTGGAAATGGGAGGCATTCTGTGGGACTGAGCCCGTCACCCTGTGGGATCTGATGGTGTCTCCAGAAAGATAGTGTCACAGTTGAATTAGAGCAGCGGTCCCCACCCTTTTTGGCATGAGGGACTGGTTTCCTGGAAGACAGTTTTTCCATAGACTAGGGTAGAGGAGTGTTGGGGGGGGGTGGAATGGTTTTGGGATTATTCAAGCATGTTACATTTATTGTACACTTTATTATTACATTGTCATTTGCCATTCACTGATAGGGTTTTGATATAAGTCTGCAAGTAAATGATGTATTATGGTCTCTGTGTAGTCAAACCTCTCTGCTGACGATAATCTGTATTTGCAGCTGCTCCCCAGCGCTAGCATCACCGCCTGAGCTCCACCTCAGATCATCAGGCATTAGATTCTCTTAAGAAGCAGCAACCTAGATCCCTTGTGTGTGCAGTTTACAGGAGTATTCATGCTCCTATGAGAACCAAATGCGTCTGCTGATCTTCCAGGAGGTGGGGTTCAGGCGGTGATGTGAGCAGTGGGGAACGGCTATAAACACAGATGAAGCTTCACTGGTTCACTACTCACCTCCTGCTTTGTGGCCCATTTCCTAATAGGCCACGGACCGGTACTGTTTGGTACTGTTCCGCGGCCTGGGGGTTGGGAACAACAGAATTAGAAGACACCCAGCTGGTATCCACTGAAGAATTGATTGCTTGCTTGTTGGTGGCAAGAGATCCCCACACATTTGGTCACAAAGTCTTCTATGTCGATTGTTGTGGTGTGAGAGTAGAAGAAAAACAGTTTGTTTTTTCCACTCTCATCAGTATTTTTTAAGAGAGTTCTCTACCCTCTCCTGGGGTAGAGAACAGCTGCTATACAACATCCTAGAAAGTGCTGGGAGGTGACTTTTTATTTCATACTGCACATTCTTGGTTATGAAAGGAGACAGGGACTAGTTTAGGTTCTAACATACTTTGTTTTGTACGTCTAAACATTGGCGAGTTATCTCAGTCTCTTACAAAAATGTTTTTTTCAGGCAGCTTGTGTTGCCTTCTGGGATTGGGGAAATTCAGGGTTTGTGTGGAATTTTCCATGACTCTTAGCTCTGCACCATTAGTGTTGACGCAGTCACAGAGCTTTTCAGGGTGTCTGCCTGCTTCTTTCCGCCTCCTTTTTTATAATGTCAAATGGATGTTAAACCTCAAAAGTCTTGGTATTGTGTTTGTGTTTAATACCCAAGTTCTAAGAACGGATCAGAGAATCTCATCTGAATTAACTTTTTGTTTATAAAGTGAGTCAGCTTGAGCTATCTGTTTTGGCCTGATTTCCTCAGGTGTCATGTTTCCTGTCACAAAACCACCTTTTGTTTCCGTAGGCACAGGCCTCTGGTGCAGTGCTGGCTAATTCTCCAGCCTTCTTTTCACTGGTGATTGAATCAGCCTTTTGATCCTTTGATTGGCAGAGTTCTAAAATTGACAACAAGTGGAAGAAAAGAGATCCAACAAAATACAATTTGGGTTTGGCTAGTGCCCCTCTCACAGGGGAATTTAAAGTCCTGAGAGTTCGGAAGGAGACTGCTGCAGCGACATAGCTCCTTTTCCTTAGAAAGCAATTCCCTAGATCCTGTGCAGAGGATGGCAGGGTATTACCAAATTCCATTCTCCCAGAGCAGCAGTAGTTGGAGGTTGGGCTGGTTTGTTTACCATAACCTCCCCCCAAAATGAGAGAAGTTCTAATCAATTCGTATACAGTTGGGGGGGTGGTCAACAGTAGGCTATTGGTAAGGTCAACAGTAGGCTATTTATTAGTAGTTAAGTTTTTGGGGAGTCAAAGTTATACACAGATATTCAATTGCGCAGGGGGTCGGTGACTCTAACCCCTGCGTCATTCAAGGGTTAACTGTATATGAATTGATTAGAAAGTCTCTCATTTTGGGGGGAGGTTATGGCAAACAAACAAGCCCAACCTCCAACTACTGCTGCTCTGGGAGAATGGAATTTGGTAACACCCTGCCATCCTCTGCACAGGATCTAGGGAATTGCTTTCTAAGGAAAAGGAGCTATGTCGCTGCAGCAGTCTCCTTCTAAACTCTCAGGATTTTAAATTCCCCTGTGAGAGGGGAACTAATCAAGTTTTGTTGATTAACACATAAGTTGTACATTAGATGTATTATATATGCTGTATTCTTACAATAAAATAAGCTAGAGAAAAGAGAATGCTACTAACAAAATCATAAGGAAGGGGAAATATATTTATTATTAAGTGGAAGTGGATCATTATAAAGGTCTTCATCCTTATATTCACGTTGACTAGGCTGAGGAGGAGGAGGAGGAGGAAGAAGAGGGGTTGGTCTTGCTGTCTCAGGGATGGCAGAGGCAGAAGAGGGAGTGGAGGTGGAAGGAGAGGCAGGTTTGTAAGTGGACCCCGGCATACAGGTGGACCCACGCAGTTCAGACCATGGTGTTGAAGGGGCAACTGCGTTTTGAATAGGAACTCAAGGCAGTATGTATTCTGCTTCATTCTAGTCTCTGCTCAAGTTTACCTCCTTCCCTGAGCACCCTGTCAAAGTAGTAGCCCCTCCCCTCAAAAAACATTCTCCATTTCTTCTCCCTGTTTTATTTCCTGATATTATATTATGTAAGCTTTATGAGAATAGTGACATTTCATTTTCTCCCTTATATTCTTGGGGCCTGGAACCTATTTAGTGCTCATGAAATATTTGTTTAGTAAGTATTAGATCATTAAATATGAAATGTCTGATTTTGAATCAGAAGTTTAGTTTTATTACATCTCACAGAAGCAGTGCAGTTAATCAAAGTATATGCCTAAACTATTGACACAGTTTTGCAATCTTAACGGTAGCTTGCTTATGCCAGTGGCAAAGAAGCCTGGAGGGCGAGTGGCGATTTTCCACAGCTTGTTGAGAATTGAATATTTTTCCTCATAAGAAGTGGTCCAAAGTCTGGAAGAAGTGGTAGTCATTTGGTGCAAGGTCTGGTGAATACGGTGGATGACAGAGAGTTTCCAATTCCAGCCTCTGTAGTTTGAGCAGCGTTGTTTGCGCAATATGTGATCCAGTGTTGTCTTGTAAGAGGATTGACCTGTTTCCATTGACCAATCTTGGCTGCTTAATCACAAGCATCTTCATCATTTCGTCCAATTGGTTGCAATAGACATCTGCTGTAATGGATTGACCAGGTTTCATGAAGCTGTAGTGGCACCAGTGCTGGACCACCGAACAGACACCATTAGCTTTTTTTGATGAATATTCGGTTTTGGACTGTGTTTCGGCACTTCATCTTTATCCAGCCATTGTACTGAAAAGCTTGAGATTGTCGAAAAGAATCCATTTTTCATCACACGTAACAATACAGTGTAGAAATGGTTCACCTTTATGTCGTGACAGCAAAGAAAGGCAAGCTTGGAGATGATTTGTCTTTTGACGTTTGTTTAATTCATGCAGTACCTATCTATCCAGCTTTTTTACCTTGCTGATTTGTTTCAAATGGTCCAGTATTGTGGGAATAGTAATGTCAAACCTTGCTGCTAATTCACATGTGGGTTGAGATGGATTTGCTTCCACTACAGCTTTCAGCTCATCATTATCCACCTTGGTCTCAGGTCGTCTACGTGGCTCATTGTCAAGATTAAAATAATCAGAGTGGAACTTCTCAAACCATCAATGTACTGTGTGTTCATTAGCCACATCCTTCCCAAATGCTTCGTTGATATTTCGAGCTGTCTGCACTGCATTGGTTCCACGTTGGAATTCATATTTGAAAATAACACAAATTGTTTACTTATCCACGGTTTCACAAAAATTGCTCTAAATAAAATTTGAAAGATAATCACAAGCCACAGCATGCATGTGCAAGACTGAGGATGTACCTTCACAATAAAAATAAAACAAGAAATGTCAAAGTAAAATGTCAGAAATACCAATAGTCAAACTTAGTACTTAAGGAAATCGGACATTTCATGCTTAATAACCTAATACAACATGGAATGGTTTGAATACAGCCAGACATTTGCATACTGTCTTTCTTTTTGTGCTTTACCTTGGCCTTAGCTTGGTGATTCTTAAACTTCGTTGGGCAGATGAATTACTATATCAGATATAAAACCATTTATTCAGAACTTAGTGTAAGTAATATAAGAAAATTTTAAAGATAACTTTGTGCTATTTTTCACTTTTCACGCTGAAGTAAAATGTGACACCATTGTACTTCTTCCATAATTAGTCTGTAATACAGAGGAATATCTTGTTATTTAGATTCTGAAGTAAGCTGGGGAAGTTAAATGCCCATTCGGTTCAGTTTTACTGGGATCCAGAAGATGTTACATATTAGCTGGGATGTGAGGGCAATCAGGCTATGACATCTGTCACCCCCTTGATCACCAGCGTTGATTCAGCTGATCTGGCTGGCTAGCAGGGTGTTCCTTTCCTGCCTCACCACTGCATGCATGTCCCTCCTGAAGCTGTGTGTTTGGTGGAAGAGGATGACCTTCCCTGATAGAGGAGGACCATTCTTTGGTCAAAGGGTATATGAGTAGCTGTGTTCCCCTGCTAGAACCTGCAAACAAGTTCTCAAGATTACATGAAAACACTTTGAGGTAAAGATGTCAGGAATTCAGGAAATTGTGAATACTTGGAAAGGTAATCAAGTAAGGAGAGGAAAGACAGAGACCTAACTGTGATGAAGCCTCACTGCCTTATGGATTTGTCTGAAGATGAAGGCAGGATATGTCCTGGGAAATGATTTTGTTTTTAGACGTGCTCCTGTTAGTACAATGTATATTGAAGGTTTGGTCTAAATGGAATAGATGAAGTTTTGCTAATGCACTTTTTCTATCCTATTTGAAAATGGTCATGTTCCACCATGATTTCACCACTTTCTTGTTGTTCCTTCCCCAATCCTTCTTTTAGTTGGCTGATTGCAATTCTGGCCCAACTCAACCCTCTCTTTGGACCACAGTTGAAAAATGAAACCATCTGGTATCTGAGGTATCATTGGCCTTGAGGAAGAAGACATGCTCCACAGTGCTCAGTCTTTGAGGTGACTATATTCTTGACCTTTCACATCACTGTTGTCAGTCAGTCAGCTAGAGTTTTATCTTTTTCTCAGAATTTTACAGCCATTTTAACACAAGGCAAGGGCAAGCAAATGTGATCTGAAGAGCAGAAATAAATTTAGAACTTAGGCCATTCACCTTACTTAAATCTTATGGATATATCCATAAGAGTCTTTTAAATTCTATTAACCCTGCCTTTTAAAATAAATACAGTTTGATTTACAAAATTAAGCTTGCACGTACTCTTTCTGACATAGATCAGAAAAGTGACTATTTATACTTGGCATTGCAAGATCCAGCAACTTTAAGAAGTGGCAGATTTAAAATTAAGGTTTCTGAATGCTTTGGATGGAGAGAGATAGGTGCCTTTTGAATATCAGTCTTAAAATTGCAGCTTTTGGGCCGGGCGCAGTGGCTCACGCCTGTAATCCTAGCACTCTGGGAGGTCGAAGACGGGTGGATTGTTTGAGCTCAGGAGTTCGAGACCAGCCTGAGCAAGAGCGAGACCCCGTCTCTACTAAAAATAGAAAGAAATTAATTGGACAACTAAAAAATTATAGAAAAAATTAGCCGGGCATGGTGGCACATGCCTGTAGTCCCAGCTACTCGGGAGGCTGAGGCAGAAGGATCACTTGAGCCCAGGAGTTTGAGGTTGCTGTGAGCTAGGCTGACGCTGTGGCACTCTAGCCCGGGCAACACAGTGAGACTCTGTCTCAAAAAAAAAAAAAAAAAATTGCAGCTTTTGTTTGGTTCTGAGGATCAGCAAGGTAAGTAGTGGTATAGTGGAAAGATTTATTCACTGGCAGAGTCAGGAAACCTGTCATTTAATTTGTTCTTCTATCTCCATTATTTCATTAAATGGAAGTTAGTGCTAAATGCTTGACTAGATTTCGCTTCAACTTTTTTGGCAAGCGTGCTGTTTAGGTGTTACAGTAAACTGCATATTGCCTCACATCAGGAGAGACACGATGTCTGGCTCTCCTATTTTTTGTGACGCTAATATGATCACTGGGTTCAGGTAATGACAGCCTGGTTCCTCCAGTTATAAAGTTCTCCGCCGGCCTTTTATCCAGTGATTTTATCCATTGATGATCATAGTCAGAATTAATCATTTCAGTAGAAATTGCAAAATGGTGATTTTCCAGTTCTATTATTACTTCCACATCTGATTAGTTGAAATGCTTCTGTAAGGATAAACTTTCCCTCATCGACTAGGGTTATCTTAGTCACCTTGAAATACAGATGAGATAGAAATATAGGAAAAGCAGAATACAGATTTAATTATTTTCTTTTAATTTTCAGAGTAAGATGTTGGTACCCAAGTTACTTTTGGGTATGCAGTGAGATTTTCTTTTCTTTTAAATTTTAATTAATTACTTCTATTATCCTTTTTATGTCTAGTCATTCTTTCTTTGGTCTATGGGAGCCTGTTTAGGCTGGCTTCTGTATCCTTTTGATGCTAGTTTTTGGTAGTTTTCTTACTTTCTGGCAACATCAAGATATCCTAGGCCCCTCTTGTATATTTTCTGTCCCAGACTTGGATTCAGCTCCAATTGCTTTCTAAATTTCCCACTACAAGGATCTCTGGTTCACTAGTCAGTTCTCAAGCCCAGTTAACACTGGTTCTTTTCAGTGGGAATATATTTAAAAACCAGGATCTAGGCTGGGCACGGTGCCTCACTCCTGTAATCCTTGCACTCTGGGAGGCTGAGGTGGGAGACTCTGTACCAAATAAATAAATATAAGTGAATAAATGTGTACATATATATATATATAAAACGTAATAATAAAAACCAAGAGATATCTAAGAGTTAGGTGTATACATTTCTGCTGGGGTATTGCTGCTTCTAAGCTTTTTCAGTGGAAAGAGCCAGGAAATACGTATTTTTAAAAAGAAAAAAGAAATCATGAGTTCATGTTAGTATTTCTAACTTAATTTTAACATTACGGGATTTTTACTTCTTTGGTTTTATACTTGAATATCATTCACATGTGCTGAAAATCTTTGTTTCTAATATAGTATATGTAAAATACTTTCAAAGTAACACCGGTATATAGGCTGGGTGCAGTGGCTCACACCTACAATCCCATCTCTTTGGGAGGCTGATATGGGAGGATCCCTTGAGGCCACAAGTTTGAGACCAGCCTGGGCAACATAGTGAGACCCCGTCTCTACAAAAAAAATTACAAAATTAGCCTGCTGTGGTGATATGTGCCTGTAGCTCCAGCCACTGGGGAGGCTGAGGCAGGAGGATTGCTTGAGCCCAGGACTTGAAGGCTGCAGCGAACTATGACTACACCACTGAACTCCAGCCTGCGTGACAGACCCTGTCTCTGAAAAAAAAAAAAAAATTAAAAAATAACATCAGTATAACTAATAGCTATAAGTTTATCAAATACAGTTTAAGATTTCTTTGCTGCTTTATATATCCTTAGAACAAAATGCTGTTTTCTGGGGTTACTTAAATTTTATATACAATATGTATATGGTATGTCACCAATTTGATATACAGTTTGTTTTGTGTTTGATTTACAGTGTTTTTAAATTTGCTGCTTTTTAAAATATATAAAACATATTTCCAGAGTCAAAATTACAAATAAGATATATACAGAGAAATCTGTCCTTCCAGTGTTTTGATTTTACAAAGATTAGGCAAATACATGTATTCATTTATGTATATAGAGACACACACACACACATACACACACACACCCCTACACATATGCTACTGTTACAGAAAAGATATCAACTATATATATTATTCTGTACCTACGTTTTATTCACTGAATAATATATGTTAGAGCTCACTGTATTATCTGTTTATGGAGATTTTCCTTAACTCTTTTTATAGCCATTTATATCCTTTTGAGTTGTTGCCGATCTTTTTGCTATTATTTATAATGCCATCTTATGCATATGACATTTTCTGTTTTTGCCAGTGACCTCTGGGGTAGATTCCTTAAAAATGGAATCTCTGGACCGGGCGGTGGCTCATGCCTGTAATCCTAGCTCTCTGGGAGGCTGAGGCGGGAGGATTGTTGGAGCTCAGGAGTTCGAAACCAGCCTGAGGAAGAGCGAGACCCCGTCTCTACTAAAATTAGAAAGAAATTAATTGGACAACTAAAAATATATACAAAAAATTAGCCGGGCATGGTGGCGCATGCCTGTAGTCCCAGCTACTCGGGAGGCTGAGGCAGAAGGATCACTTGAGCCCAGGAGTTTGAGGTTGCTGTGAGCTAGGCTAACGCCACGGCACTCTAGCCCGGGCAACACAGTGAGACTCTGTCTCAAAAAAAAAAAAAAAAATGAAATCTCTGGGTTAAAGGCATATATAGTTTTTCTAGGTAATGGTGCATTCCCTTTCATAGGGATTGTACCATTTTTGCATTCTCACCAACAATATATAAGAGTATCTGTTTCTCTACAGCCTGGATTTTGCCAAGCTGATAGGTAAGGAGTCAAGCCTTTCTTTTCCTTAGAGTTTTGTCTTTGTGCAGAGAGTTTTGTTGTTTTTTTTTATTTTTTTATTAAGTATTTTTATTTTTATTTTTTTAGGGATGGGGTATCACTGTGTTGCTCAGGCTGGTCTCAAATTTTTGTCCTCAAGCAATCCTCCTGCTGGGATTACAGGCATGAGCCATCACACCCAGCTTACTCAAAGGGGTTTTGATTTCCCTTTTATATGGATTTTTTTTTTTGTTTGAGGCAGAGTCTCACTCTATCACCCCAGGTAGAGTGCAGTGACATCATTATAACTTACTGCAAGCTCAAACTCCTAGGCTCAAGCAATCCTCAGCCTCCCAAGTAGCTGGGACTACAGGTGCACACTACGACACCCGGGTAACTTTTTCTATTTTTGGTAGAGATGGTGTCTTGCTCTTGCTTAGGCTGGTTTTAAACTCCTGACCTCAAGCAATCTTCCCTTGGCCTCCCAGAGTGGTAGAATTACAGGAGTGAGCCGCTGCACCCAGACCCCTTTTATATAGATTTTTTATTTTTTAGTTGTCCGGCTAATTTCTTTCTATTTTTAGTAGAGATGGGGATCTCGCTCTTGCTGGTCTCGAACTCCTGACCTCAAGCGATCCTCCTGCCTCGGCCTCCCAGAGTGCTAGGATTACAGGCGTGAGCCACTGTGCCCAGCCCTCCTGTTTTCCTTTTTTAAAATTTTTTTTAGAGACAGAGTCTTGCTCTGTCGCCGGGCTAAAGTGCCATAACATCAGCCTAACTCACAGCAACCTCAAACTCCTGGGCTCGGGCAGTCCTCCTGCCTCAGCCTTCCAAGTAGCTGGGACTACAGGAATGTGCCACCATGTCCAGCTAATATTTTCTGTTTGTATAGAGACAGTGGTGTCTCTCTTGCTCAGGCTGGTCTCGAACTCCTGACCTCGAGGGATCCTCCTGCCTCGGCCTCCCAGAGTGCTGGGATTACAGGTGTGAGCCACTGTGCCTGGTCAGGTTCTCCTGTTTTCTACCTTTCAACTATAGTGAGTGTTAGTTAAGGCTGTCAATTGGGGTTTAAAGCTGAAAACGTTAGGCCTGAGTTGATCTAGTTCCAGCACTGCTTTTCACTTAACTTCTCTGAGTTTCATTTCCTTCCCTTATAATAAGAGAATTGGGCCCTTTGATGCTGAATAATACTGAGCAAGTGGACCTGAAAAGGTTTCTTCTGCCCATTCTTACCAGTCTCATGTCTCTGTTACCTAGATTGACTAACATTTGCACTCTGATCCACAGCACAGACTTGGGCTGCTTGAAACCCTTATGTTAAAGGTACTTCCTTTATAAGCAAAATGCCAGGAAGTAGGAAGACACAGTCAGGCAATCCTTAATTATGGATATCATGTCATACCTATTCTGCATTTAACAGAATTACAGTAGTATACCCTAAGACTTTGGAGTTAGCACGTCAAGTCTAATCTCTGCGTAGCATTAGAGCCGACAGAACTCTTAAAGAGGAGGACCTTACTTTTCTTGGTGGTAAAATTTAAAAATTGAGCTCTATTTACCTTTTGAACTTTGCACTTTTATGCAATGGTGAGATGATAAAGGAGCACAGAAACCATATTTGGGCCCATCCTCCTTGATAAGGAAAAATATTTGATTTTGTACATGATTTCTTTAAGAGGCCAGATTTGAAGCGTAAATGTAGGCCAAACATGGTGTGCAGTAGAGAAAAATGAGGACCAGTCATGAAAGCTTTAGAATGATTTTATACAAATGAAATTGGATTGATCTGAACAACACTCTGTTAAACATGTACCTGATCTTTTGCTGCTTTAATCACTGTAATTGTCATGATTTTCCTTCCTGTATTGAAGAACTGAACCACAGTTGTTGATGAGAGGCCGAGTGATAGCACATTATGTTTATTGGCTGGAATTTTGTCCAGCACTCTCAAGAATGGTGCTCGCTCCATCTCTACCCCTCCAGCCTCATCTGCTTCTGCTAGATTCCTCAGTGTGACTTCATAAGATGTATATGAAACTATTACATAGAGGCTGCTATTTTTGTTGCTGTTCACTTTCCTACAGCTTGGGGTGTGATGCTAGTGTGGACTCTCCTTGGAGTAGATTTGGCTTCAGACCCAGTGTCCTGGAAGTCAGTTGGTTTATCATACCATTGTTACATGGGAGATGAGCTTCTATGGTTTGCTGTAATCTGAAAGATTACAGAATTTCTATTTTACTATGAAGTCTGAGACAGGAAAGAAATAGAGGATATTGGTAATTAGGCCTCTGCCCTGTGGGAGCTGTTTTTCTATGCATTCCAAAAATATTTGAGTGCTCAAGGGGTATATAGTAACCAAGTAGGGATTTCAAAGAATACTGTGGGCTCCAGAGGGGTTTGTGATCTGTTGGGAGGTTGAAATTAACCCATACTTGGGAAAAGTTAAACAGTGCAGGGTGTTTTGTGGTTAGAAGATAGTCTGTCTTTTACTCTGACCACTCCGGCTGGCTATTCTGGTACCATTTCAGACTCAACCATATCTCCATTTCAGGTCCCATATCACAGTTTTCCCTGTCACTTAGGGTTAGAACCTATCCCATCACTGTTTTCTCCCTTAAATCCAGTTGTTCTTGTTGTGTCTCTTGTGTCCCTGCTTCCTTTGCATTCCTCCTTCAGGTACCCTGGTTTCTGACCCAGATCACTGCAGCTCTGAATTATGATAGGGTCTGGTCTCCCTGTCTCCTCAGTCGTCTATCCACAGAACACCACCTGTTTATTTTCCTGCTATAGCACTTCCTGAAACAGACCTGCTTGCCCTGGAAACTTTCAGTAGTTCTTTATGGGCTACAACAGGAGTCGTCTTTTTTTTTTTTAACCTGAGGTCCCTGATTTTAGTGGGTACGTACCCCTTGAAGTGCGATATGAAATGTTCTAAGCACACAGCTTTTGTCAGGGTCACCAAAGGCCCCTGAGCCACAAAAGACAGGAATGACTAATCTGCAGGTCATGTGCAGCTCTCTAAGGTGGCCATCAAGGCCTTGCCGGTCTACCCTCAAACCACCTTTGCAGCCTTTCTTCTCGCTACTTTCCTCTGTGACTCCAGCCCTACTATTAGGTCATGTTCTTGACCTCTAAATAGCTCTACTTAGCTTTTCCTGCCTTTCACTACCATACTGTATTCGTTAATTTAGAAAGCAGATTAGTAAACACTGTCCTGTGAACATTCCTTCTGCTTTCTTGCGTCTGCTCAGCCCTTCCCTCTTAATTCTTCCTGATGCTTTCTCTTTCTGTGCCCAGCTCCCAGGACCTTGCACTTCCTTTCCTGGTCACTTTGTTTCAAAAATGATTTCTTCCCTTCCTAAAGCCCTCCTGTTCTTGCCATTCATTTGGGAGGTTGCCTTGAATTGTTAAATACAGAAACCTTTAGTTTGCTTAACTTCTGCTTGTATTTAATCTCCTACTATACATAGCCTTTCACATCATAGTAAAGAAGGAAGTATTTTACAAATTTATCTTAAATGAAAGAATGGAGATAAACATATACATATCCTTTAAGAAATACATTTACTTACCGTTCCCTGAACAGGTTTCTTAGTTCTGGCCTTAATAATTTTATGTTATCTTCATTCTCAGTTTTAACCTTAGGGATGCCTCTATTGATTGAGTTCACCAGCCTTACCCCTAAATAGCTATTTCGTATCAGAGATGGGTAGAACATGTGCTTCCTTAATTTACTCCAAAATCAAACCACAGGACTATGCCATATGGAATATAAGGCTCATTTACATTTATTTTAAACTCATAGTATTGAGCCTGAGTGAAAATTATCCTGTTTGTGTGTGATTTTTTTGAAAGTGAAGGCCTGTTTTTCCCTTTTTTGATTATTACATTGTCAAAAAAGGCCTAAATGATGAGAAAGTCTAATCAGTATGCTTTTCCTAGAAAATTAACACACAAAGCATATGTATTTACCACTTTAGTGTTTTCAGGTAAAATTTATAATCTGCCTGGAACTGAAGTTTGTACAGAGGGGCTGTCCTGTTGGCCTGCCTAGGAAGAAAAACAGAAAATGATCATTAGATTAAGTTAAACATTTTATAAGGCTTCCAGACCACAAGAAACAAGTAGCTGTGATGATTGCCACTCCTTGGCCTGATGTTATTTTCCTAATACATTATAAAACAGTCTTTTAATTCTCTTTTGGCTTTTTTGTTTGTTTGTTTATTGTTTGTTTGTTTTGAGATGGAGTCTTGCTCTCATAGCTCACTGGAACCTCAAACTCCTGGGCTCACGTGATCCCCTTGCCTCAGCCTCCCAAGTAGCTGGGACTACAGGCGCGCACCACCATGCCCGGCTAATTTGTCTATTTTTTGTAGAAATGAGGTCTCACTCTTGCTTCAGCTGGTCCAGATCTCCTGGCCTCAAGCATTCCTCCCACCTTGGACTCCCAAAGTGCGAGGATTATAGGTGTGAGCCATCTTGCCTGGCCTTAATTCCGTTTTGAGTTGAATGTATTTTTTCTCTCTCTCTTTTTTCTTTTTTTTCTCTTTTCTTTTCTTTTTCTTTTTTTGTAGTTTTTCTTTTTCTTCTTTTCTTTCTTTTTCCTTTTTACTCTTTTTTTGTGTGTGTATGTGTATCTCTGAAACCCACGACTGCGGCCGCCCGTTTGTTGCATCTCCACGGCTGGGCTATTTTGCACCAGAGAGACAGCTTGCACCCCTAAGAGTGTGTAGCAACCAAGGAGGCTGCTCTTCAAGCTGAGACACACAGTCACCTCTTTGCTGCAACTTGGTAGCCGGTGCCGCCTGCCAAACGGGCAGACTCCACAATGGCAAGGGCCGAGTAGTGAGTGAAGGAGGCTGTTTTCCCAGCTGGGACCCGCAGTCACCTCTTCGCTGTGACTTGGTAGCCAGTGCCTCCTTCCAAAGAAATAGTCCCTCACCCTTGGAAGTGCGGAGGAGCAAGGGAAGCTGTTCTCTGGGCTGTGACCGGCAGGTGGTGGATGGCCCTTGGCTGCAATCAGGCCACTGGTATTGCGTACCAAAGGGACTGACCCCACATCTGCAGGGGAGGAGTAGCAGGGCAGGCTGCTTTCTGGTCTGGGTCCCTCAGTGGCCTTAGGCAGGGTTTCTCCAGCAGCCCTGAAGTGTGCACTTCCTACCAACTAGACAAACCCTGCCCTTTGGAATTGAATGTATTTTGTTTGCAGTGCCCTGCCTTTGTGGGCCTCCGGCAGTCTGGTGCTTTCCACCATGAGGGCAGTTGGACTGCCCCAGCTTACACCAGCAGGACTTAGCAGCAGGCTCTTGTCCACTTCTGGGTACTCTTGGATGACCATGGGCCTGGGAAGCCCATAGTTTTACCACACTGAACTGTGAATTCTCCTGGTTGTGCCCACCAATTTGGAAAACCTACAGGGTCCGTCATATCTCTCTCCATCTGTTTGACCTTCAGTCTTGTCAGACCTGTCTGCCACAAACCGTGTTTCATCTGAATTTAACAAGCACCCCACCCCCCATACCTCACCCTGCACATAAGCCTGGTCATTTTTCACACTTAGGCAAATTGTATGTCATAACCAGCTTGATTTCTAAGCAGCCAACTCAAGCCTTGTGTGGAAATTACCTTTGAATGAAACTGTTTATCCAATTTTATTTCTTCTTTATTTCCTCCTTTTTATTTCAAAAGTAGCATACGTGGTTTCATGTGGATGTTACAACTTTATATAAAGGAATTTATATGACCACTGTTAGCAATTTAATGTGTGAAGATAATTAAATATTTTCTAGCTTTGCAAGGATGGTGTTGAGCTTTAAGCTGCTAGAAAAAGAAATTGTCATTTGTTGCCTGCACTTGTATTGCAAGCATGGGGAGCAAACTAGGAGGCAGCCAGCTTTTCGGGGTCCTGACACTAGAAAGAGCACACTGTGCCTATGGTCACCTCGCTCTGTTGGGGAAGTGGAAATACAGACTCCTGAAACCGAAGTGAGCATGTTAGATTCCAGCACCATCAGTCTTAGTCATCCTCACTCTTCCTCCTTTCTATAACAAGGTCAGACTGTTTGTTACTTGGGCTCCTCCGTTCAGCAGTGTCCTTGGTTTTTGGATCTGTTGCCACCGCCCCACAAAATCTGTCCAGACTTGCACGTTGATGAGTCCACTTTTCATTCAGGTATTTGCTGAGCACCTACATGTTTTAAAGTATTGGCCTGAGTAACTTTCTTGGTGTTGTTAACTTTTTGCCCTACTGAGGAAGATGTGAGGACCAGTTACTAGGATGGTTTTGTTTTGCAGGTCACGAAAAGAGAATTCCTTCTAGAAGCAAAATCACCTCCAAACCCAGACCATCTTCCTTGACTTGCCTATTTTGGGCATCAGCTGCCTTAAATACACACACCACATTTGAATATCTACTCTACAATGCAGTATTTTTTTTCCTTCACTTTTTTACCCTTCGATGAATTATGTGCCTATTTAACCTGAACTGTGCTGACTCTACAAAATGTTTATGCACTCTTCTGAGACAGAAGACGCTCTTCTGAGAAATATGTTGCTCTCTCCTTGGAATCTGTGGATTTGAAGATGGCTCCTGCCTTCTCACAACATTGGAATCAGCGAAGTGTTTAAAAACTGCTGCAAGACAAGACTCCAGTGGGGCAGTCCGTGGGCGAGCATGATCAGAGCGAAGACATGTCCCAACAGAATTACACCGAACTATTTTCAGGATAAATTTCTTATTTCTGCCATCTTTTGGAATAAATTATTTTTCTGCTTTCTATGGAAATCTGGGTTCAGTGTTTGTGAAGCTCATTTTTATAAGCTTTCTGTCCCTAGATAATGCCGTTTTAAAAGATGATTTTGTAGTCTAAACTTAGGTTGGATATATAAAGGCTGCCGTGTAGTTTGAGATATCCAGAGACTGGTAAGTATTTTTCTTAAACATTCAGTACCCATTTGAGTGCCTGCTGTAGCCAGAGCACTAGAGGGATTAAAGATGTGTACATTGGGTTCCCTGCAAGTAAAGAGCTTATATGCTATTTAGAGAGAGAAGGTCAGTATACACAGAACTATAATATTAGGCCATGTTTGATCATTTTCTTTTGGTTACGCTGGTGAGCCAGTCAAGGGAACCTACCAGCCGCAGGGACAAGGCAGTGAATGCTGCTCAGGTGGAACCATCACACCCTCAGAGCAGGACTAAAGAAGTCTGGAGTGATTAAAAAGCTTGGGGCAGGGGACAGTAATTTTGTGTTTTGGTAGCAGGCATCTCAATACACTAATTTGGGGATTTTATTTGTTTTAAGAAATTAAAAATTAAGGTGGACCTACATTTTCACCAGCTCATGGCTTTTTGAAAGCCAGCCAAGAATGGATTTCCTGTTTTGCAGTTTGTACTTTCTATTCCTCCCAAACCGTCTGAACTCATTACTTTGCTATTCTTAAGACCAAAGTGAGTTTCAAGTTGAAGTGATTCTCCTGCTTTCATTTCTTTTCTTTCCATTTTTTACTTTCATTTTGAACTTAAAGTTGTTGTGAGTTAGGCAACTCTATACTTTACCTTTCCAGCAAAAGGGCCTCTTTAGTTAATTTCCTAGAATCCATAAAACACTGAAGATTTAAAGCTGAAGGGCCATGGTGATAAAGGCTAACCCCATCGTTGTATATGTAAGGAGTCTGAGTCCAGACCGCGAGACTGACTGGTCCAGTTCAGTGCAGCTGATCAGAGGCAGACTGGGAAGGATCTATATTTTCTAATTTGGCTGGGCGCAGTGGCTCACGCCTGTAATCCTAGCACTCTTCAGATGCCGAGGCGGGAGGATCCCTTGAATGCAGGAGTTCGAGACCAGTCTGAGCAAGAGCGAGACCCCCATCTCTACTAAAAATAGAAAGAAAGTAATCGGACAACTAAAAATATATAGAAAAAATTAGCCAGGCATGGTGGCGCATGCCTGTAGTCCCAGCTACTTGGGAGGCTGAGGCAGTGAGGTTGCTGTGAGCTAGGCTGATGCCACGGCACTCTAGCCTGGGCAATAGAGCAAGACTCTGTCTCAAAAAAAATAAAAATTAATAAAAACAAAAATAAAATTAAAAAATAAATAAAATGGAGACGGAGACTAAAGCAAAAGTCATGTGTTACTTTTCCTCCAGCCCCTTTATTTCAGCTTTGACTGTTTGAAACTAGTTGTAGAAAATCCATAGTTTTCAAAGGAAAAAAGCACAATGCAAAATGCCATTGTAAAAGATATTTATCACAGTGCAATTAATTGGAAACCTTAATGCCCAACATAAGGAGATGCTTAAATAAGTCATGCTGCTGCATACGAATGAAGGAATAGCAAATAATTTTCTTTCAAAACATATGCCTAGAAAAGAGATCAAAAAGGCAGACAACAAAACTACCACCACTTACTTCCTCGGGATGATAATTACAAATGATCTTAATTTTCCTTTTTCTTTTCAGCATTTTTTTTCCTGTGAAGATGTAATAGTTTAGTAAAAAGCAACAGAAGTTACTTTAATAACAAATAATAATAGAATATTAAGAGAAAAAAAAAGAGGAGTTTAAGCTTCTGTACAGAGAAAAATACCTGATAGACCAAGATGTTGAAAGTGATTATTTCTTCTACAATTGTGTGTATTTTCCAAGTTTCCACAAAGAGCATGTATTACTTTTTTAATCAGAAAAAATAAGGTATATTTGGGGGGGGGGACCATTGTCAGAATAGTGTTAGTACTTCCAACATTATATAACACACATCCTTTTTCTTCCTCTAAGTAATTCAGGGTCGGGAAATGAAATCAGCTGTTTGTTGAAACACTGAAGCTACTCTGAATCAATGCATGTCAGCGAGTTCACACAGAAATTATGATTAAGTGTTTGCATTGTGCAGGGTGCGGTGCAGATCATTCAGTTTGTGACACCACAGCGTCCTTTTGTACAGGTGCTCACAGTGACAGCGTGGGGAAATGAAAAGGGGATGCTGATTGTGATTCTGCCCACATGGAAAAGTGGAAGCCTGGGGTATTAATGTTCCGGGGCTCCACGTGGGTTAGAAAAAGCCCCACTGTTCTACTCCCAGCTGCTCCAAGCCGGCCTTCATTCAGGCTGTGGCACTGCTGCTGTTAGAACCCCAGCCCTGTGAAATGTCTTGGCTCTGTTTTCCCAACTCCCACTTCCCCCCTAAGCCAACTCCAGAAAAGGGGTGTATTCTAGTAGCTGAGGATGCTCAGCAGCTAATGCTGCCACCCCCATGAATTCAGACAGGATTCTATTTCAATTTCTGTCAGGATTTTGACATGGTTTCCATAGTTTCTTTACACTGTCCACAGCGTGCTACTACTGTGGGTTGCAACCTCAAAAGGGAACAAGCAGAGCAGATGTCTTGTGCAAGTAAGCCTGTATTTGAGGAAGCGTGAGTTAAGAAGCCAAGTGTGACTCTTTCCAAGCTGCAATGCTTTTCAACAACAAGGTGAAAAGGTATTTCAGCCAGGTTCCACAGGTGTTTTCAGCTCCTGTTCTTTGTCCTGTTGTTAGCTGCTTGAAACAATGGTAAGCAGAATGATTCAGCCCAGACCTGGGGAGCTTAGGGCTTAGGGGGGAAGACAGACAGTAATGATGAAGGGTTATTTATGCTATACCAGTGCTTCTCAAATGTTAACATACAGATTGCCTGGGGATAGTGCTATAAAAGAGATTCTTATTAAATCAGGGTGGGAACAATGATTCTGCATTCCTAACAAGCTCCCAGGTGCTGCTGGTGCTCCTGGTGGGTGGACCCCACTATAGCAAGGTGCTGTATCTTAGGGAAGTACAGGTCGTTAGGTAAGAGCACTAGAAACACTAAACTAATGGAAGTGTTCTTGAAGAAAATGACCTTTAAGGATAAACCCAAAGGATGAGTATGAGCTTAGCAAAGAGGAATGGTGGAGGTTTTTCAGGTAGACCAGCGATGGGAGTTGCAGAAGTTCAGCACAGATGAGTGCCCTGGATTGTGGTAATAGACATGAAGTCAGAGGAGTAGCTCCATTTGGGCCATATTTATTAGCTCATATAGATAAACGTCAATGAGTGTTTGCATGGGGCTGGGGTAAGGGACAGGGAGGAGTTGAGGATCACATTTATGTTCCTGGCTGGGTGGAGAGGGGGGGCCTTTCACTGAGATGGGGACACAGTGGAGTCCAGGTATGGATAATTAGAGTTTGCAGGTACCTGAGGTATCCACATGGTGATACCCACTGGGCAATTGTTACATGGCTCTGGAGGTTAAGAAGAAGGACCAGGCTGGAGGAAGAAATATGGGGCCCCAACACAGAGACAACAGAAGCTGCGGACATGGATAGGGGGCGAGGAAGAGTGTGTAGAATGAGAAGGGAGGTGGTCTAGGTTGGAGAGCTGAGGAGCACCCACCTTAAGGGATGGGCAGAGGACGGGGAGGAGGAGTTGGAGTCGGTAAGAGAGAGCTGTTGCAAACATCTTGGCTTGGCTACCTGTCGGCACCCCCCGCCCCAGCTAAGAATTTTTACGTGCATTATCTTAGGAAGAAAGTGGGACATACATTATTCTTCTGTTACAGTTGGAAAAACAGATCAAAAATACATCAAACTCCCACTAATGCCAACAGTTTTGCTGCCCTTCACCTGTGGTTACGGGGCCTCCAACTGGCCCTTCCCCAACCTTGCCCCCGGCCCCCAGCTGCACATTTCTGAGAACCCAGGGGCTCCTTCAGCTATTTTTTTGTTTTTTCTTCATTGTTGTCAGTCCTGTGTCTAATAATAATAGCTAACACTTACATGGCAGTTCTATATGCAGACATCGTTCTAAGTATACTTTTTTTTTTTGAGATAGGGTATTGCTGTGTTGCCTAGGCCGGTCTCAATCTGGGCTCAGGCGATCCTCCCACCTCAGCCTCCCAAGTAGCTGGGATTACCAGCACACCACTGCACCTGACTCGGCTTGTTGTTCGAAATGTTTCAGATACGTTAATTTGTTTAATCCTCACAACAACCCTACTAGGTAAATACTGTTATCTCCATTCTGCAGAGGAAGAAACTGAGGCACACAGAATAGTAAAATAACTGATTAGTTAACATCAGATTACTTAAGGCTACCTTTTTTGTGTAAGGATTAAAACGGAGGGAATGTCATTATGCTGACTGAAGATTTAAACTGGCTCATTTAAGAAATTGGCTCTTTCTCTCCCGATGACTTAGTTTAGGTTTGATGACTTGGGACTTTAGTTTGAGTGGCTCCGTTTGGATTTTTGTTTTGGTCTCTTGAGGCCTAGTGCAAGAGTTTAGTCCAAAACAATGGCCTTCTATAATTTTTTATTTAACACTGTTAAGTAGAAGAAATGGGATTTAAACCCAGGAAAGTCTTATTTTAGAGTCTAGGGCTGACACTGAGGCTCCATGATTTTGAATTCCTGGGCTCAAGTGATCCTCCTGCTTCAGCCTCCCAAAGTGCTGGGATTACAGCAACACCGCTAGCCAATTCTGTGTTTCTTTTGTGACATCTCAAAGCCCTCATGCAAATAAAGGAGCCTGCCTTGATTTTCTTGAGTTACCCAAGGGAGCTGTGATTAGTTCCCACGGTATCTGCCATAAAGGAGCAGCCCATACTGTCTGAGTAAGGCTGCAGCACTTCATGCCTTCTGCAGGCATCTCTGAAAAGTGGGGTCAGAATGGAATTTTCGAGTATTACATTACATGTGTGTAGAGACTGCAAGTCCCTGAGAAGACAGCCTCTCTCTCACCTCCCTCTGCGTGGAACACTACACCGCTCAT